CCCACTGTACTACCCACTTCTGAAAGCCAACAGGGAAGAACTGGGCCCACAGCTGGTGGAAACTGTCAGTTTCCTGCCCTTGGGGAGGACAATATCCCCAGCTGCTATAAATAAAACTGTGGCAGGCCCATTCCTCAGAAAAACATCAATTGATAACAATGTGGCCAAATATCATCCACGATTTAATCTTTCATTCTTGATCGATTATTGACAAGTTTGTGTCCAACTCTCAGAGCACTTAAATGCCTCAGTTATCCTGGTTTCTTGTCAGTCTGAGTACAGGCCAGAAAATGCATTAGTTGCTCCGGTGGTCAGTCTCTCCATAGCAATTGATGGCTATGCCAATATAAGATCTGTCCACACCTTGTACAAAGTGGTTCATGTGGTGATGTGGAGCCAGGAGCCAGCGAGAAGCAGGGAGAGGCTAAGACAGGCACAGGCTGGGGAAGATAAGGTTAGAAAGGATCAGACTTGTGGGATGGACAGGATCAAATGGAGAGCACACTCCCCTCTAGAACTCGGAGCTGAATCTACGATTCTGAGTCTCAATATTCCTTTGCTATCAGCAAAGCTCTGTGACATGCACTAGCAAAGTGTGTGTCTCATCCCACTCGAGTAATATCAGTTTACTACTGCTACCAGTTACTCTGTTACCTCAAGTGGCAGAGGTCCAAATCCTTATGACGACCTAGATTGGGGGTCAATATGAGGGAATTTTTTTCATTGTACTTTAAAAAAACTAGGAAATTACATACAAAAAATACATTAAAAAGAATATTACAGTTGCAAATCAACTCAAAAGTTAGGAAATGCCAGAATTAAGGTTGCCTATGCAAACTTAATCCAGCCCCTTATACGTATGCATGATGATATAATTTTTAATAACATGATAACATAGTATTTTTCCATAGGACCCCCGCCTGATTCATTGCACAGGTGGACAGTGCCCAAAGAATAAATCAGAAACGTGTAGTGAATAAGGCAGTTATCTGCAGGAACCCTACCTCATTTGTTGCAAAGTCAGAAGGTGTGTACTGAATGAGGCAATGTACTGCAGGAAAAGGAAGGGTGGTTTCATGGTCAGCTGAAGTCAATGGGAGGTCTGCTCTGAATATATAAAGTGCTATACTTTACAAAGTACGCTTAAAAAAAATAATCAGACCCAAAGCATCTCAGTTTGGGCACTAAGATAAGCAGATGCTTTTGACATTACTCTCACTGTGCCTCAGATCCCGTCTGTAAAAGTAGAATAACAACCTTAACTCATGGGAATGAAGGGGGGGCGGGGATTGTAAAGACAAATTCATTCCTATCTGTGACACACTCACATACTACATGATCAGCACCATAAAAACTCCATGAGGATAATAATAGTTCTGCATTCCATGTAGGGTCTGAAGAGTGTGCAGCAAATAAGGCATAGGGCCACACACTGAATGACAAAACAAAATATCAAATAGCTACCCATCCAATAAGTCTTATCCAGTCTGTGCTCTGAATGAAATAGGAGCTTGTGATCATGTGATTAAAACACTATCATAATGCATACATATAAGGGGCTGAATTAAGTTTGCTTAGGCAATTTCAGTTCTGGCACTTTTGAGTGCTTGACTTTGCAACATTAAAGTTCCTTTAATGTAATTTTCTTATCTGTAATTTAGGCATTATGTAACTTACATTTCTGATGAGAAAGATAAAACGTACACATGTATGTGTGTATACAATTAATACATTAGTACATATTATACGCACACGTGTGTACACTCATGCACATGCATAAATGTTAATTAGAGTAGTAACAAGGAGCAAGACCCTGAGTCTAATAAGAAAGTTTAAAGAAAAGATTGTGTCCCCAGTGCTGTATTGCATTTGTAAGAAACTCTAGGAATACACACAGCTTCCGTAAAACCTCTCTTGCGGTGATTTTCTTTAGTTGCCCTAAGTTTTAAAATAGTTTCCAAACCTAAAACATTTTGTCACCAGAGTAGATGTAAATTAAACATACTAATTGCAAACAGAAATACACACACTTCACACATACTAAAGAAACTCTACACTTTTAAATTATGGAGTCATAATGTACAGCAGTTGACCAGCAAGCCAGTATTTTACCCACAGTCCTGAAAAATAGCGGAGAGAGGCTAATAGTAACATGTTTTCGTTTTCATTTCAAACTCTGGTACCAATTCAGCTCATATCACATTATATGATCTCATGCTGCTATAAGAGCCAAAAGTTTCACTTGAAATCTTTTCAATGATCAGATCTGGAAAGCTTTTCAATCACTTTAGTTTGAGAAGGATTTAAAAAAAACAAAAAAACAAGACCAGAGATAAGAGCCAGGGGCTTGAACCATTGATCACTCATCATACTCTTCCATCTGATGCTAGGTTAGCATCTTTACAGATTCAATAGAATTACCTACCTAGCTTTTTTATGAAGAGATTAAACCCCAGAAAATTAAAGACTGAACTATGGGGTTAGCAATTAAAGCCCAACAACAAGGGCATCCAATCCTTATGGAGTAGAAGGACTAGAAATAGAAACATCCAAAGTAGAAGGGAGAGTCACAGCTTCCCAAAGAGCCATTTGCTTCTAGCTCTGGAAGACTCCAAAATATTGACTTTAATTACATTTTTGTGGATGAAAAAATGTAGGTAATTGTTATTAAAAAATAGCAGGGTTTTTTTTCTCATAGAATCATAGAATATTAGGGTTGGAAGAGACCTCAGGAGGTCATCTAGTCCAATCCCCTGCTCAAAGCAGGAGCAACACCAACTAAATCATCCCAACCAGGGCTTTGTCAAGCCAAGCCTTAAAAACCTCTAAGGATGAAGATTCCACCACCTCCAGTGGTGGAACCCATTCCAGTGCTTCACCACCCTCCTAGTGAAATAGTGTTTCCTAATATCCAACCTAGACCTCCCCCACTGCAACTTGAGACCACTGCTTCTTGTTCTCCTCTAAGCCTTGTATAATTTGCATTCATAGCACCTAAAGAACCTGGCTTTACAGATGGAGGGATACTAGTAGTAGTTCCACTGAAAAATTTCAGGCACTCACTAAAACATTCCTAGAACAATTAAATGTGTGGCACATGATGGTGTGGTGTAATGTAAAGATTTTACTGGCATTCATTAAGAATGACCCACCATGGCTACCCCAATCTCATGCTAATGATACTCTTAATACCATACCTCACCGATAGATATTCTGCCTATACAGAATGCCCACAAAGTGGTCATTATTAAATGAGCAGTGCACCAGAAAGTTCCAAATATGAGCATATCTGATATAATTGCACTCATTAACCAGTTAAAATAATGTAACAAAAATCCTTTCATAAATCAATGGGCTCGGTCTTGGTCCCATTTAATTCAATGCTAGTTCCCCATTGACTACAACAGGGAGAAAGAGAAAATACAATAACTTTACTTAAAAAACAAACAAACTGAAGTATGTATCCTGTAAAACTAAATTTAAATCATCCAAATCTTATCCCCTCCCCTACAAAAAAAAAAAAAAAACCAATGAACAAGCAGAACAATAAAGGAATTTACTGTATGTTCGTAATTTTTTTTAAGTATTCTTAATGTAATGTCTTTTGAAAGTCACCAAATGTACAAAACATTAAACAAGGCTCCACACAAATCTCAATTTTCAAATAATATCTCAAATCACTCAAACTTGGGTATGTAGCTTCATAAGTTGTGATCGGGTACCTGGGTGGTGTCTCTCTTGAAAACGTACACAAAATATAGAAAGTACTGTAGTTCCCATTGCCTTAACTACACCTAAATTAAGATATATTTTGTACATGTGGGTACAATAGAAACATATTTTGATTTTCTCACGGTCTAGTTGGAGAAAGGTATCTAAATGCACACGTGACAAACTATATTAATCAGATTGTATTCTCCACTATCCAATGGTTTCTGCCATTCACAATATAGTGGTGGGCAGAAATCAGACACACTGAAACCTATCTCTTCACACCTTCTTTGGTACAGAGCCCTGCTTTCCCTTTACCTAACATGCTTCCCTAGTGCAAAACCTCTCCCACTACACTCTAAGCACTTCTATCCTTCTGTTCTCTTTTCCTGTGCAGAAACCTTTCTCTCTGGATCTTCTCCTCTACCTCCTATATTCCCTCCACCACCAGCTCTAGAAGCACCTTCATTGCAACTCTCAATTACAGCCCATCAGAAAACATATTTTACAAAAATGGTTGTCATTTATTGTCAAATCACAGTTCAATGGAAATTTTCCCCACCCACTCTATTCTCTACTACTGCATCCTTCCATCTCTCACCTTATCTACTCCTCTTTGAACAGTTTAGTTTAATTTTTAATGATATATTTAACCAAGGTGCATGCCTGAGGGGAGAATAACCGGTGTTAAATTTAAGCCAGTGCAGCTGATATGGTTGTTGGAGGAGGACCCACAACCTTGTGTATGAGGAAGGAGGGAAGAAGAGAGACCAAATCAGATTAAGGTGATCGTTTTTGGAAATATCAGCAGCAACTAGTTGAAAACACACACATGTAGCCCAGCTGCAATACAGATAGATCCCTGACCAATGTTAACCTTTCTGATACACTCATAAGCATATGCAAAAGTTTGATTGAACTCTACCTCCTAGGCTTCACCCTGAGCTCTACTATGATTAGTTTTCTCTTAGGACTGAGTCAGTTCAACTTCTTTGATTGCTTAGCAAATAAAAGCTACCCAAATTACAAAAAGTGCTGCATTGAAGGTGTTGGAAAGCTCAAATGCATGGGATTTATCAAAACCTCATGCCACTCTTTACAGAAAATCTCTTGTTACTAAAGAGGAAAAGTAAACTTTGAAGGTTGGTGCTTATAATTAAAGGGTGTTTCTGCAATATCTGAAGTTTCTTCTATTCCCATTTGAAACCATGAGAGTTATATCTTCCTGTTTTGACGACAGGCCTCCCGAAGAAAGGTCTGAGTTAATTATAAATTATCCCATTACTCACCCCAGGTGTCCCTCCTGGAGCAGGAAGGAACTACAGCACAGAGAGCTGCATGTAAATCCTTTGATCACATACACAATTCCACTTCAGAAACATAAATCCTCCTCTTTCACTGTACTGACATGACTCATACCTGAAATGAAGAGAGAACAGGACACAAGCTCTCAGTAACCTTATGTCAATGGAAAAGTTAAAAAATAATACATTTTAAAGTAATTAGCCAAGTCCCCAGTATTTTCTCAAGTAGACACTGAAGTCAAATGCATTGCTGTAATTAAGTTTCAACAGCCCTTGATAACCACACATTTATAGAAAAAACCTACATATTTCAAGTTAAATTCAGCTAAAATAGAATGTCCTGTTACATATTGCAGTCTGGACATTGCCTCAATTAATAGAACTAGTGCAAAGTCTTTGTTAGGATCCCTTTCCTACAAAAACTTTCAAGAGCAGAAACATGACATGGCGTTAAAAATAAAATATATGTCCTACTTCCATACTGCAGAAGGAAGCCAAAATATATCTATGCAACACAAATACACCCTTACAATTGGTGTTTTTCATGGTTTCTGCACCCTTTTGTAGTCTGTTTTTAATAATTTTTATTTATTTATTTTACTGCACCAGCTCCATAAAAACAGGACCAATGTGCTATAGACAGACAGAAGTGGCCATCCTTTAATCGTTTTGGATGTGCCGAAAGACAGATAGAATAACATGTCTCATAACATTAGCCAGTTTCCATGCATTTCTTCCACAAGAGAAGGCACACTTTCACTATTTGTGAAGGGGACAAAAACTTGCAAGCCAAATTGTGTCAACAATAGCAGAATTAACAGTCTGGAGTGTTCAGCAAAACTTATACCGAAGTAAACACTAATAAAAATAAAATTAATTAAATGTAGAACACATTAGCACAACAGAGAACTGACCCACAAAGCATCCTGGCCTGTCTAGTAAGTAGCCTACATATAGTTTCCTGAGCTGAGAGACCAGATCTGTGATTGTTTTAAGTTCTCTGGCTTTTTTTTTTTTTTGAATATACATTGTTGGAAACCTGGGAATTCCAACTTCCCAATGATGTATAACAATATTTTCCAGCCCAACCAGTTCAGACAGTATTAGACCTGAAAAAAATCATGTAATTCTGAATACCACCGTGCTTCCCCTACCTGAAATTCCAACTACATTTTAGTAACTATTAACTTGAAAACCGGTAGCAAAACCAACATTATTTACTTACAGGGCACTTTCCTGAAGATTTTTGTAATTGTTGTTGAGTTTGCACCATTACCAAGTACTACCATCTCAACTGCCTGCCAACAATCAAATTTGGTAACAAATCAACAGAACAAAAACTATGCCATGTTTCCCCAGCAGAATGAATTTTTACATGTGTTAATGTGTATCCATATTTCCTGAACTGTGCTGGCTGTTTCCTTTTTACATTTTTTTTTAAACAGTAAGTTTCTCATTCTTAATTTAAAGTCAAATTCTGCTTGGAAATGCACACTCAGACACAACTCTTATGGATGCAAGTGGGAACTGCAAATATATATATTTGAGGACAGAATTTGGCCCAGACTATTTAAATAAAATAGTACATTTATAAACACTAATGTGCCTCTGATACAAGTAAGATCAGTAAATTAATATCAGAATTTAGGGCCAGAAGTGGTTGCCAGATTATCTAGTCTGACCTGTATACATAGGCCACCAACACCATCCAGCTACCCACACACTAACCCAACCACTGAAATTGGACAGGAGACTAAATCATTGTATGTTACAGGCAGAGAGTTGGCAGGGGTACACCAAAACCTGATGTGACAGATATTGACACACACACACACACACACACACACACACACACACACACACTTTCACCTGAAAGAACACATGCAGTAAGAAGTGGAACAAAATAAACTTAAGTAAACATTCTTCTCTGAGATCACCAGAGCGTTAAGCACATTTCTTTTAGCTCTTTGAACAATACAGTCTAAACTGCAGACGCTAAAGCCTGTCAGATATGAAGTGTCCAAAGATTACACCTCAGCAACATAGCCTTGAATTACATTCCAGTCCCACTTAATGATAGTAAAGTCAAAGAGAAGGTACTTTTGCTGAAAACACTTATGCCAAAAATGCCAGGGGAAAAATGTTTTCTACTGTGAGAAATCTTTCATTAGTTCTAAGGAGAAGAAACATAAATATCATTTTTATATATGATGATTAAAATGTCATGATTAGTTAAGGTCAAAGAGGTCTATTTAGCCTCCTGTATAGCACTGTCATGGTCTCTGCCCAAAATTAAAAGGCTGGGAGTTAAAAGAAACTGAATTACAAGCTTTTATACTAAAACAAACAAACAAAAAAACACATGAACTAAGCAAATAAGAGGGCCCACATGAAAACAGACTGTATTATATACGGGGTCTCAAACAATCTAGATACTAAAGCTATCAGGGTAGACTAAAGGTCACCAAATTATAGAGTGAATCTGACTACACAAACTAAGCAACACCCGCAAAAAGTGGTAGCCACAACATTTTTACCACTGTGGTTTATGAGAAAGATCCCATCCTGCACAGATACAGTGGTGTAAGGGTTACATATGAGGTCACTGTCATGACAGTCTGGAAGCCTGAGGTTTATGTAAATGGGGTGGTTTGGTAACTTGCTATGAGTTTTTATATAATGATGCATACAGTGTAATGTTCTTCTGATATACTGAAATCATGGTCACAATAACTGTGTAGGAGTCTGCATGCTTTGCCGTTGCATACTTCTTTTAGTTCAGTTTGCACCTGAAGCAGTTAGAGCACTTAACAGATAAAGATTTCCTCCTACCATAAACTTATCTGATTTTATGTGACAGAACATAAAATGCTGTGTTTAATGATCTTGCTAAGGAATGCTCTGCACATTAAATCAGCAGTGGATAAATAAAAGATCATTAAAGTTCCAGTCAGACTGCCCTGTCTTCAAATGCAAAACAACCCACTTCTATTTGTAACAACTAAACCCGCAAGAAGAAAAATACCACACACAAGTTTATGAGAGAGTCATAAGGGATTGGACTTCTTTGGCAGTCACAACAAAGATTGCAGCTAGCTAGTACGTAGACGCAATCAACATTAATCTTATTAATCATAAAAGTATTCCTTGGATCCTTGAATTTAATTATCGGCGCTCTGCTTGTGGACCAAGGGCATGTTCTGTAGTTCTGTAAGCCTCAGATGGAAGGGATCACTATTAGAAGATTTTACCACTTGAAGAGAGTTCACTCTGAATATTATCATAAAGGCCCACTCCCCATACACTTTGAGCTGACTGCCAAGAAAATTTCAAAGCCCAGCTGCCACCTGTATCTGAGATAGATTCTTCAAATACTGTATGCAGAGAAGCACACCTTAAAATGTGTCAGTGGCTGATGTGAACAAAAATAAGCCAGGAGTCTCTCAGCTGGTGCTGGAAGAATCACTTGGGACATATTCTTCATCTGCCACACTGAGCAGAGTTAAAAATAAAAATTGAGCGGGGCACCGGAGTTGTGACTGGGCTAAGGGGGGGCCATATCTTGAGCTCCTTGTGCATGCTCAGCTCCAACCAAAATCAACAGAAATTTAGATCTTAGGATTTGTCTATAAATATTCTAAGAGCAATGTTTGCTAAAGGGCATCATCCTGGCCTCCATTAGTGTGCATGAAAATTGAACATGCGAATCACCTGTGTACGCAATTTTTTTTTACATGCTTTCATTTGTGGACTCAAATTTTAGGGTTCATGCAGGTAAATTCCACTATTTACGTGAAATATACTGCATAATTAGAGGCCGCGATTTGAAAATTTGGCCCTGAAAGTTTTCCTGGTTTTGGGAGGTGTAATTTAAGCTAGCCTTTGGGCAAAGCAGACTAGCTGGCATTAAGATTTAAGATCATCATTGAGAAAAAGAAAAGTAAATTTCATTATTTATAAAGTTTCTGTTGAACGTATTCACGGTGCAGACATCTTTATATAAGATCCAAGACAGTGACAATGTAAAAAAGGGGAGAGAGATGTAAACTTCTGTTCACTTAACTTTTTACCTACCCAATGTGCCCAAGTTTCTTGTGGCATCTGTTTAACAGAATAATAAAATCAAGGTATAGCCTTGACTTGGAAGGTGAATTTCCTTCTCTCCGCACAAGCTTTACCATCTAGTAGGCCATAACCACTCAACAGCCTTTAATACTTTATTTAAAACAAGGCAGACAGAAAAAAAAAAATCACAAGAATACAAGTCAGCCAGGCCCAAGCCTCCTTTTGAGATGCTCAATACAGTTACCTATATTACATGTGTTTGTTTATCGTCAGTATATACCAAAAGGAGATATAGGAAGTATCAGCTGCTTGATGTAGCTGTTGATCTTAGGACCATTTAAAAAACAAAACAAAACAAAACAAAAAACACCATAGGTGAGTTTCCTCTAGCCCAGTCTTCAAATACTGACATGATGGGTGCACTGTTCATACCCCTCTTGTTGGTTTAGCATCACATGGGCATTGTGACAGGTACAGTATCTCACTCTCAGGGTATGTCTACACTGGAACTGGAGGTGTAATTTCCAGCTTGGGTAGACATATCCATGCTAACTCTCAATGAGCTAGTACCCTAAAAACAGAAATGGAGCCACAGCAGTGTGAGCGGCGGGATAGGCTAGCCTCTCCCAGCATGATCCCATCTGAAACCTGAGGTATATACTCAAGGCAGCTCACTCATGCTACTGTGGTTCCACAGCTATTTTAGCTCGATCAGAACTAGTGTGGGTATTGAGCTGAACGTTACACCTCCAGCTCCAGTGAAGATATACCCTATGATAGAAAGGAATGCTTAGGAATCTGGGGATCAAAACCAGGGAGCAAAATAGGGAAACAACCGGCAGGATCAGAACTAAGAAGTTGGCAACACAGGATTGGAGATGGGAAGATGGAAACTGGAATGAGGAATAAATAGGAAAGGAAAGAGAGAGGAAGGTGAGGAGATAACAGATATAGATAATGGGGAGACCTGTGGGTGAACCAATGAGCACATATCGGGGGGGGGGGGCAATGCTAGAAGGGAAAGTGGCCTGGAAAAGAGGCTAGCATCTG